TTGGCCAGGCTTATAAGCATTTTTTAAAAAAACAGCTCTCTGTTCACTGGAAAATTTACTATTAACCACCTGATTCAAGTTTCACCTGATTCAGTACTTCTAGTCAGTACTGTTGTTGATTCTCTTGATGAATGATAATGATGAAGAAAAACAGCCAGATGATGTCTGAAAGTGATGGGCTTTTTAGAAGCTTCAGTGGTTGTTTCTCCTAAGATCCATTTGATTAGCCTTTACTCACGAATCTGGCCGCTAACATGTTATAGGGCTGAAATCTGATACTCATTTTAGCATAGGAATAGTTCAGTTTATCAAATTACTTCTCATTGTGAGATTGTTTTCTGTGTAAAACATAGTATTGTAGCCAATTCATACATTCATATATTTTGGGATGGTCTTATACTTATTTTATCATTGTTAGACACATGAACATGATGAAAAATATTTAAATGTAAATTTATTTCAGTTCAGCATTGATAGTCTGCATTTTTAAGATAATCCAGAAATGTGAATACTGTTAAAACAAATACCAGATTTTTTTTCTAATTTTATATCTTTATTCTGCTTGATTTTAGGACGAATAACCTTTACAGAACCAAATATTCAGAATGTGCCAAGAGATTTTGAAATCAAAATGCCAACACTAGTAGGAGAAAGCCCACCTTCTCAAGCTATAGGCAAAGGCCTACTTCCCATGGGCAGGTAGGCACTGTTTCTCTGTATCTGTGTTAATAAACTTTTTAAAGTATGAATGGCTCAAAATAGCTTATTAGACAAATAAATGAAATTAGCTTAATTTTATGTTTCAGACATACCCATTTCTGTCCTAGACCATTTTGAATTCTGAGTCCCATCTATAAAGAATCTAATTCATGCTTAATTGACTGTTTGCTAAAAAAAAGTTCTAATGTCTTTGTTAAGCTTTAAAATGAGTCTCAGATAAAGGTTTGTTTGTTTTTGTTTGTTTGTTTGTTTGAGATGGAGTCTTGCTCTCTTGCCCAGGCTGGAGTGCAGTGGCGCGATCTCAGCTCACTGCAACCTCTACCTCCTGGGCTCGAGCAATCCTCCCACTTCAGCCCCCTGAGTAGCTGGGACCACAGGCGTGTGCCACCATGCCTAGTTAATTTTTGTAGAAACAAGGGTCTCACTTTGTTGCCCTGACTAGACCTGAACTCCTGGGCTCAAGCAGTCTGCTCGCCTTGGCTTCCCAAAGTGCTGGTATTACAGGTGTGAGCTACCACATCCAGCCCTCAGATAAGGGTTTTATTAAGTTTCTTAGATGGAAATACTGATGTTACTGAAAATCAGACCTTTTTCATATATTTGAGACTGCTTCATGTCTAACTGATGATGTTGTTTGCACCACAGAGGAAAAAGTAAGAAGGGTTGCAGCCTGAACCCTGGACGCCAGGCACAGATGGAGGAGAGAGCTGCAGACAGAGGAATGCCATTTTCAATTAGCATGCGACATGCCTTTGTGCCTTTCCCAGGTAAGGTGGCTGATAGCTTTGAAGCTTCTCATTGCTGTGAGAATGTTTTTCAAAGCATGGATAAAGCCTGAAATATGAGTGAGATTTAGAGCATGCATTGGTCCCTCCATCTTTCTGTCTACAGTGGAGCCTGCCTTTCTCCTTTGTCGTGCCAGGTTTATAGCCGTCATCGTCTCCATGATCTGCTCTGTGGAAAACTTTTATGATGTGTGCTCAGCGGCAGCAGTCTGCTGAAACCATGTTTTCTAACGTCATAAACTTCTTTGCAAAGTCCAGTTGATTTTGTCAGTCTTCATCCTCTTTAACTTGTTTACAGCATTTGTCACTGTTAATCAACTCCTCCTTCAATTTCTCTTCTCCCTTGACCTGTAAGGGCACAGTTTTTCTCTCCTCCTAACTTGTTTGCTTTTATGTTTTTTCTCTCTTTTTCTGCACTGCTGCTTCCTATTGCATGGGGTGGCCCCTAAAGCTATTCTCATTCTGCCTGACCTCTCCTCAGTACTCTAGTCGTAAACCTTTTGTTGTCAAGATATTTGGAAGTGGTGATGTAACTTGCAGATCATCCCGACTGTTAGTATACATATTTGTTCTTTAATCTTTCACCAACTGGCAAGTCCTAGTGAGCACAATTAACCATCTGAATTTATTTAAATTCCATCAGAAACTTTTTGCCAATGGTGAATTCAGACCTATGATGACATGCCCTGCTTGGCAATTTTTAGTTTTACTTATATCTAAACTATCAGCATACAAAATTCTATCAAAGTTATCCAAGGGAGTCCCCAGAAGGTCTGTGTGCTGTATTGTAATTTCTTTTTTTTTTTTTGAGACAGACTTTTGCTCTTGTTACCCAGGTTGGAGTGCAATGGTGCGATCTTGGCTCACCACAACCTCCGCCTCCGAGGTTCAAGCGGTTCTCCTGCGTCAGCCTCCCTAGTAGCTGGGTTTACAAGCATGGGCCACCACACCCGACTAATTTTGTATTTTTAGTGGAGACGGGGTTTCTCCATGTTGGTCAGGCTGGTCTTGAACTCCTGACCTCAGGTGATCCACCCGCCTTGGCCTCCCAAAGTGCTGGGATTACAGGCATGAGCCACCTCGCCCAGCCAAGGTGTATGGTAATTTCTTTCTTTCTTTTTTTTTTTTTTTGAGACTGAGTCTCACTCTCGCCCAGGCTGGAGTGCCACAGAGTTTTCTTAAAACTCATGAATCAGTTGTTTTTTTTTTTTCCCTGCAGCTTCCTCACCCCTCTCAGCCTTCATAGAAATTCTGGAGTAGGAAAATGCAATTGACATGCTGAATAGTACATCAGAGTCTCCTTGCTCTGGATTAGACTTTGGCTTAAGAGAATGTTGTGGCTGGTTTGATTTTTATTGTCCAGACCACTCAAATTTTCTCCATATTAGCAATAAGCCTGTTTTGCCTTCTTATCAGTTGTGTGTGCAGTGGAGTAACACTTTTAATTTCCTTCAAGAACTTTTCCTTTGCATTTACAACTTGGCTAACTGTGTGACACAAGAGGCCTAGCTTTCAATCTATCTCAGCTTTTGACATGCCTTCCTCACTAAGCTTAATCAATTCTAGCTTTTTGGTTTAACACAAGAGATGTGACTTTCCCTTTCACTTGAACACATAGA